GCCCATGCCAGTGTGGAATGGCCCAGGCTTACGCTCAATGAGTGCAGCGAGGCGTGACAGTAGCCATGCATGGCACGTGGCATGTCAGACACTGTGCCGCTGCACGAGGACACATGCATAACGGCACTTGCAAAGGGGGTTGCGTGGAGCGCGGCAGATGCGGAGTCACTCACGACCAAACCCCTCCGTGACCATGCGCAGCTGCTCATTCTGCCATTCTGTTTGCGTTCCTTCCCTCGTATGGAATGCGCTCTCTGGCTCTTAGAATTTTCCCCTCCCTTACTATCTTCACAAGCGTAGGTTTCTCGGCCGCGGACCAGACGATCTCGTCGGCACAATTTGCGTTGACCTGGCTGATACGATGCATGTCCTTGTTTAGGTCACTGACCTGTCAGAAACCGCGCAGGGTTTAGGGCAGCATTTTGTAAAGTCAGCATAATAGCAACAGCTCTACCGACCAACCAAGCCGGGGCGACAGTACCTTACTGAGTCGGCGACGCATGGCCAGAAGACGGCCTAGTGCTCAGCAGCCACAATCCATCCCACCCCTTGCCAACACTGTAGACGCCGACATCAAAGCGTAGCTGGAACGTGGAGAGATCGCCGCCGAGTTAGAAGCAATTGAGAGGGAATTCGAACTTGACGCCCGCGCAACTCATCAGGCGTACACCGCCAACGTGCCTCAGTTCAGACTCTGGTGGTCCAACCTTTACCTCACACAGGGATCACGGTAGAGCAACCGATGAGAGTCACATGGCCGACGTCGATATGACGGACGTTGCTCCCCCTGTAGGCACAGGGGAGCCGGGCCGACATGTAGACCAAGCCGAGTCTTCCCATCGCCGTCCGACCACTAACCCTTCTGTGAGGCTGAAGTTGCTCTACGATCTCGACACTCTGGCAAAAGAACAAGAAGGGGGATTTACCAAGGACATTCCACCACCGCTTATAAGGGAGTTTACAAAGTCGCGTCGTAAGTCGGCTTCGACGCAAGATGGACAGCCTTGACCTTCGTCGGTGCTGGGCAGGGCGGGAAACCAGGATGAGGAAATAGAGGAGTCTTCGTCGAGCGACGACCGAACACGACGTGCGGCCTCCGCGTAGCACGAATCCGTGCAGGTTAGAAGAACGAATCAGGGGGGAACAAGAATACATGACGAGGAAGAGGACGAGCAGAACATGGCGGTCGCTCACAGTGGACGGCAACAAATTTCGTCGAGGATGATTTAGTCAACGTGTGCGTCGATGTACTCGTCTTGGACGCACTACGCAACCTACTAACAGTGGAGGGAAGCAGCACCCTCTAGCTGTACAGCCCGTGGATCTACCACTACAAGAGGTAGGTGGCGAAGCTGCTCAAGGAAATACAGGATAAGCTTCCCAAAGAGCATAAATTGAGGCACGTTGACGAGATCAGCCACTACATCCGTGAGAACAAGGGCAAGGATTGGGACAATGAGACCGTTGCCCCTCGGAAGTGTATCTAGTTGCACAGTCCGCGGGTCACTGAAACACGGCTGCGCGCCTACGTGAAGTTCACGAGGCATCAGTGCAACCTCGATGCCGAGTCGCCCGAACAGGGGGCCAGTGCATCGGGTACTAAGCCGGTGGCAGCTATCACGGTGCACACGCTCCTCGGCCGCATCAAGGCATGCCAGATGGCGGCGAGGGTGGAGGCGACGATCTACCAGGAGAAGAAGCTGAGCATCATGCGGGAAATCTCGATAATTAGATCGGAGGTGCGGGTCATGGTCCGGCACCATCGGCGACACCTACACCGCAGAACATTTCCGCCAGATCATGACGAAGTACTACCGACCTGGGCGGCGTCGACGTTGAACCCGCGGAGAACCGTACCTTCGCATACGCTATGGAGGTTTCTGCTCAGGTGCTGACCCTCCTCTCTCACCACACTCTCCTGCGCGGTGCTAGCATCCGCGAGATCACGCTCCCTGACATCTTCCTGTACTGGCTGGCGAGCACCTCGTCGGTGAACCTGAACAACCAGCCCGTTGTCATGGTGATTGCCGTGCAGAACTCGAAGACGTCCAAGGATGCCCGTCTCCATCAAAGCTACGCAGCGAGACACTTGGAAGCGGAGTTGTGCGTAGTCGGCGAGACCGGCCTGTGGTTGCACTACATCCTTGACCAAATCGGTCAGACGCACGACGTCGACTTCCTCCCGCCGCTGGACACCAGCGAACGCGAGCGCTGGTACAAGAAGCACCTATAATTTGCCCGCAACGACAAGGAGCAAAAAGAGCTCCCTGCTGCCAGCCACCAGCGATGGACGCGTTAGTTGTGGACGATGAACAATGTGTTCTGCAAGCGGAACGTGCATGTCGCTCGTGCCGGAGGGGCGCAAGAGCTTGCTATGGAAGGGACACATCGCGCCGAGATAGCCGAGCTGGGTCACTGGGCTCTCGACAAGATGACTCGAGCCTACATCACAGCCATTCCCGTCGGCGTGGTGATGAAGAAGGCCGGCTACTCGGGGACCAAACAAGACTACTTTTTGGGTCGCAGTAGGGTGGAACCCTCCGACGAACTTAAGGAGATGATTGCCGAGCACATCTTCCCCGGTGTGGATGCCCTGCTGCTCAATGTATGCTAAGAGCGTTTTACGTACCCCTTATTTTGGTGTTAGGCCCCGGTTGCCTCCAAAAGTCGACTCAACCTGACTGGTCAGGTCAACCGGGGCTGTCAACTTGGCCGGTTGGGTACCTAGCAGGCAACCTGCAAATGTACCACTCGCCTGCTTTTGGGACCCAACCGTGCCAACAGTATTTCGGGTAGACCCAACAGTCACTATGTCAATATTAGTGGCCAAAATTCGATGAAATTTTGATTGCACCAGTCACATCAATTCCCGCTAGTGCAACCTGCCCGCAATGTTTTCGTGCACCCTCTGTTTGCGCGGCGGTTAGGTACGTTCAACCCTGGTTGCCTCAATACGGTTGTACCTGGTCGAGACCAGTCGGTTGCCCGACTACGTGGTTGCCTCGACCAGCTGCCAGACGGGTGTGGTACGCACGTACATTACTGTACACTGTAGAGCGTAGGGTTATCCGGTAACCCTACGTTCAACCCAACCGGCATGTTTGAGGCAACCGCGACCGGGCCCCAAAATAAGGGGTACGTAACACGCTCTAAGCGACGCCGGCATAGTCTCGACTTGGTACCGTCCTACCGCCCATGCCTAACCACCGACATCACTTGTCGAGTTGCGGGCGGAAGAGCGAGCTGTTGAGGGATCCGACACCGACATTGCCGCGGTGCACTTCAGGCGTACCCTCTAGATGATGCGCCACATCGTCGCCGAGGACCTCGCGGTGAAGCTGTCCGAACACCCTGGCACCCGTACGTCCAAGGTTCCAAGCTCTGCCGTATTGCCCTCTTCCATCACACGGCGAAAAGTGTCGAGAAGGTTGACACCGAAACGATCCAGAAGCGCCGCGATCCGACTGTCACGCAACCAGAGGTAAACCATTTTATATTGTCGGCGTCTCCCCTTTACAAAATGAACCACACCCCCTAACCGCCAATGCTTTCGCCGACCCTTGCAGGAAATCTCCCTTCGGTTTGACGCCGAACATGAGGTGAAAGTACTTCGCCAGATGCTGACGTATGTGAGGGAGCGTACCACGGTCAAGAAGACTGACCTCCAGGACGCGCTCGAGAAGCGCGACGAGACCATCGCGACGCTGACCACTGAGGTAACTTGTCTCACTGAGGCATTCCGTATGTCACAAGCACGGAGGATGCTTGCCACCAGCGGCGAACGAGCAACCGCCCAGCGGGGGTGGTTCCGCGAATTCGGCAAATACGGGGGCCGAAGCCATGAAACGGGATGAGAAACCCAAGAAACCCCCACAAACGGTCGACGAGGCTCGTTACGAGCTCAACGTGGTCCGACCTTGGCGGGAGGCAAAGACCGTGAGGGACGCGTTGCGCCTCTGGAGCCGCACCAACGCCGAAGACACCCGTCGTCTTTGCGTCAGGTTCACCGAGCCGGGATTCGCCGACCGCCACACCCTCTTCGCCGGCGCGACGCATGGCGCACACGACATGAAGGTGTGTTGCATGCTGAAGGCCATGGACGCAGTGCGCCTTCTTCGCCCGAGCGACGGCGAGGCCGACACCGAAGCCGTTGTCGACGCACTGAATCGGATCGCGGGCGCCGGGCATCGGGACCTTTTGCAAGGCCCTTACGGTGCTCAAACCGGGAACCGCACCGACTTACTCCAAGAAACGGTTGCGAAGCTACGTCTCGCGCGTGCGCTGGTGGCGCACAACTTGAGGCCGAAAGAGTGGGTCGCCGACTTGTTTCGAGACACCTGGGAGGAGCAGATGGCGAAGACCTTGGTCGACATGGCCAAGGAGAGCGTGACTGGGCAGCGGCCTCCAACCAAGACGTCGGCCAAGCGGAAGAAGACGGCGTGAATGGAGGTGTAGCATGATCGTGTGTGTTTTATGCATCTCGTAACTGTGGCCCACAGATACAATGTCATGTTCTTACATTGTTCTAGTAGTTGTAAAACAACTCACTCACAGATGTCAGCGACGCCGCTCACAAACAACCAGTAGACCACTAACACGTACTCGTCCACGTCGACTGCCACAACTCCCGCCTACTACGCCGCCATGCAGTAGGACTCCGACCAAGACGTCGGCCAAGCCTAATATGACGAAATGGATGGACTAGGGCATGTGACGGCCAACCATGGGCCGACATCGCCCCGCATAACACCGCTGTGTAGCGGATTGTTACTATGACGACGGGCACGTGCAAGAGCCTGTGTAGTGTTCGGGGTTATTTGTGACCGAGCTTTGTGTTCTAGCTTTGTGTTATTTGGGTCCAACACAATGTCGACAACCACGCGCACAAAAAGTTACATGCGCTACAAAATGATTGGACAAAGCAAATATGAAAACGGCGCCGATCAATCCAAGCCTAGACACTAGCAAACAGATCACCATGCGCTCCCGCCGCCCGCCGACTACGCCGTCGTGCTGTGCTTGCCATGCTTGCCCTTCTTCCCCGCCTTGCTATGCTTGCCCTGCTTGCCCCTCTGCCCCTTCCTCCTCCTGTGGTCTATATCATACTCCATCTGCACGTCACACGACACAGCGATGCCGAGCTCTTCAAGTTTGGGCGCGGCGATGGCGCACATTCCCCAAAACGCCAGGGTCTCTACCGCCGCTCTAGCGATCACGTCGCCGTCGACTCCCCCATCTCCCCCCGGATACACCCTCTGCAGAGCGTGACTCTGCAGCACCGGCACGACATTGTGGGGAACCAACGCCGCCCCCAAGACCGCCCCCCCAACACCGCCACCAACACCGCCAACACCGCCATTGCGGCCCCTAAGTCTGGCTCCCTCTTGATCTCGACCTCCAACACCGCTTGCATGACCTTCTTGAAGACATCGGCGATAGTCTCGCTTGCACCGGCCACCATCGCCGCCGCTTTCCCTTCGCCCACAGCACTGAGCAGTGACGCACCGGTCTCGACGAAGCACCACACGGCGTAGGCGGAGGCCGCTAATGCCTGTGCCGCCATCTCCGTCTTCTCATCCGTGTCTCCCTCCTTCCTCGTGGCCGTCGCTACGACCTTCCCAAATGCCGCGCACATTGACACGCGGTGTATCTGTCGAAACAAGCTAGGCAAAAGTTAGGAACAGAAAGAGGGTTTGAACTAGCAGGCAGTTGAGTACAAATAGCAAACCCTAGATTGGGCTGTACTCGCTATAGAGTACCCCACTGCAGGCTAGACAATATAACATTCTGACACACCCCCATAGCCAAAGTGGGGTGTAATCAGCACAACAAGCAGTCACAATAGCAATAGTTCATAAAATTATGAGCAAAGGTAGAGGCAGTCACTGAGGGCAAGTGAGGAGGAGGAGGGCTAGCGAGAGGAGAGTAGATGGGAGGCGACGACTGAAGCTGCAGACACACGGGCAACAGACGGCTCTGGTGCAACGCTAGTGGCTACCGGGAGCAAGTGCCCCGGAATACAGGAGTAACTGGCTCTGCGTCTGATCAGCAGCGACAGGAGCAACGGACCCACGGGCGACAGGTGCAACCGGCTCTCTGAGCTACCGGTGGCTATCAGAACCCCGGAATACAGGCGCTGCGGACGACACGACGGCAACCTCCACTCAATCTCCCCCAACAGTCCCACACCCCTCGACACACACCCCCTGCTGCGCCCCTAGCTCCACTCCCCCTTCACCCCCCTAGCACCACTCCTTCGGCTCCCCACACAACCACCCCCCTGAGCGGCAGCTGCAGCAGCGGGAGACGAAGGAGGAGGAGGAGGAGGAGGGGACGGGGCACACAACCGGCACCCCCACAACCGCCACCCCCACACTCCCCACCCCCAAACCCTAAAACGGGCGGAACGGGGGAAGGAGCGCGGGGGACGGCGAGGGGAACGGCACGACGGGGAATCGGGAGCCGCGCGCGGCTCCAGCTGGTCGACAGGGCAGCGGGGGGTCGCGCGCGGCTCCCCAGGGCGGCGCGACGGGGTGGCGGGGCGACGCGACCACCGACGGGGCAGCGGGGGCAGCGCGCGGGTCCCCTAGGGCGACGCGACGGACAGGGCGGGGGCGCGCGCGGGTCCCCCACGGTAGGAAACCGCCGTGCGCCTCGGGGCGCACGGCGGGCAGAAAACCGCCGCGCGCCCCGAGCGCACGGCGGGATGAAAACCCTAAAAAATTTCGCCATCGCCGAAGCTGAATGACACGCGCCGCCTGACAAAGGGATGTCAGCCCTTGAACTCAAAGTCGTGACAGACAGAGTCTTCGGCCCGCCAAACCCAGAGCCAGGACAAACACTTCCCGGCACACCAGCTGAGCGGCTCGAGAGCATCCTACGTGGACGCGGGGTGAGTTCGACCAAGGACCCAACTGGCCTAGTGGGGTGAGTTGGACCAAGGACCCAACTGCCCTAGTAGGGTGAGTTGGACCAAGGACCCGACTGGCCCAGTGGAGTGAGTTGGACCCAACTGGCCCAGTGGGGTGAGTTGGACCAAGGACCCTGTTAGGGTGGTTCGCCACTGCCCTAGTGTCTACCTGCATATGCGCCTAACCTAGGGACGGTAGAACAACACTAGAAACGGTGGGAAACTACGACCTAATATGGAGAATCTACGGCTAGAACGGTGGGGCTGCACGCTAAAATGCTACGGGAGGAAAACGTGGAGAAAGCGGGAAGAAACGGAATGACGGAAGATTACGGCTCGGAAATGTCGAGAAGACATTTCCGAAGCCTAGAATGTCCAACTGCAACCGAACCATGTTCGGTGCGGATGAGACAACAGAGTTTCGGTTCTGGTTATGGTTACCGAATTCGGTTACGCGTGCGACTCGGGATGAAACACGAATGACGCGCTACGCGAGGCGCACATCACATTTCGAAATGCTTAAATGTGTTTGTTTTCATTCTGTTCTTTGTACTTCTCTGTTTTGAGTGAAACCAGTCTTGAAAAACCAAAAATCTCTCCAAGCATTTACTATCTTCAACACTAGCCGAAGGCTATACCCAAACTAAGAGCTGGTATCAGAGCCAGTTTCTTGTCATGTTGAACCTCATTATAATAGCGTTGGAGGCGTTATTAATTTTAGAGTAATTGCAACGAGCGAATATTCAACGACATGGGAAAACGAGATGGAGATACCAGTTCGGGGTCATCAGTGAACACCGACGGTGCGCAGCTGCAGAGTCTACTAAATGCCCTTGCCAGGGGGCAAATCGTGGCCAAACCGACGATTGCCCTGAGTGAAGCTCAACGCTTCAATGGAGAGAACTACGGCACATGGCGGCTGAAGTTCATGAGGCGCGCCTGGGAGGTAGATTTGTGGCATTTCTACAACCCAGAGGCAGCGACGGAGGAAGACGGACCTGCACCTGCAACCGCACAAGAGAAAAAAAAAAACGTTGAAGAAAAGAAGCCAACAGGCTTTCTTTCAACTCTGCCATTCAGTCTCGGATTCAATCGCAGCACGATTCGACCCGTTCTCTGAGGAATACAACGCAGCAGAGAAGGCGTAGGCGTACATGGAAAGAGTGTACCTCGGGAAAAGCGAGGCAAAGATGACAGCAGTGAGGATGAAACTTTTACTGCTGGCCATGGAACCTTCCGAGACGGTGGTGGACTACGTGGGCCGTGCTAAAGGCTACAACGACGACGTGACGGCTATGGGAGTGCTTGAATCGGAGAAGCAAATGATGAGCTATATTATTGGCTGCCTACCGAAGACATGGGCAGCAGAGAAGAGGATGCTGGTCTGCAGACGCCCGACGGACATGACGGACTTAGTGGAGTCCCTTCAAAATGTGGCGCTTATACGTGTGGAGGAAGAGCGAAGGGAGGGGCTGCCGGACAACTTCAGCAACAAAAAACCTGCCATGTTGAACGCAACCGGGGCAGGAAAAGCATTGGAGCATGCTTCCACTGTGGAAAGAAAGGACACAAGGCTGCTGATTGTTACTCCAACCCAAGAAGTAAGAATTTTAAAGGAAAGGCAGCAGGAGCAAGCGGAGAAGGACAACGACCGAGAGGCGGATTTGCTGGAAACTGCAACCACTGCGGGAAATTTTGACACAAAGCAATTGATTGCAACAGCAACCCGATGAGCAAGAGCTTCTGGGGAGGGCAGCAGCAGCAAAAATAATCACGTACCTGCGAAGATCAATGCCACCGAAGCGGAAACCAGCGATGATGACGTCATCCTCGGAAGAGCCCACAAGGCCAACGTTGCAAGAGCATCCGGAGCATGCCTGCTTGCAAAAGGCCTCAAAGGGAAGGAGTGGTACATGGACAGCGGATGTACCCAACACATGACCAATCGGAAGGAGTGGCTGCAAAATTTCAGAGCATCATCGATCCCGTACGTGCTATTGGGAGACGAGGGGAAACTTCCTGTGAAAGGGGAAGGAGATCTAGTGCTACAAAGTGTTTATGGTGAGGTGAAGCTTGACAACGTTCTGCTGGTGGAAAAGCTCACGCTCAACCTCATAAGCCAATCGCAGTTGGACTGCGGTGGATGCAAAACTTTCAATGAGAAGGGGAGCATATGGGTCTTCGGCTCCGATTGGAAGGTGATAGCGGAAGGATCACGCAAGCAAGGGCTATACGAGATGAAGCTGCACGAAAAACAGAGTGGGGAAAAGGCCACGTACCTGGCTGAACCGGAAACGGGCAAGGTGGCTCGAGATGAGCTTCGTACCAAGCTGGAAAAGGTGCCTATTAAGGAGTTGCAACAGCAGGCGCTTCCTATGGCAGCAGCAGTGAGCATAGTGGACATCAACCTGCTGCATCGGAGGATGGGACACGCTGGTCACACTCGAATCAAGCAGTTGGTCAAGAAGAACATGGCAGTGGGAGTGAAGGTAGCCGAGGTTGGAGAGGAAAAACTGAAGTGCAACACATGCGTGGAAGCAAAGGCGACAAAGGCGCCACATCCCAAGCATGGAGGACGTGAGCCATACGAGATGTTGGCTATTGTGGCAGCCGACATATGTGGACCGATGCGGGTGGCTTCACAACATGGCAGCAAGCATTTCGTTACCTTCAAAGACCTTGGCACACGACACACGTGGGTGACGGAGATCAAGAACAAGTCAGAACTCTTCACGAGCTTTCTTGATTGGCAAGCGGAAGCGGAAAGACAAAGCGGCAAGAAGCTGGAAGTGTTACGCACGGACAACGAGGGAGAATTCGTAAATGCCGAGTTCAACATCTACCTGAAGCCAAAGGGCATACGAAGGCAGCTCACGGTCCCGTACACACCTCAACACAACAGCATTGCGGAGCGGGTGAACCGATCACTGCTGGAGGGTGTGAGGAGCTTGCTCGCGAACAGCAACCTGCCCCTTCACTACTGGGGAGATGCGCTAGGAATGGCGTGTTGGCTGAAGAATCGGCTACCGACAAAGGGACTTGCTGCGGACGTTACCCCTCACGAGGCGTTCTATAAAAGGAAGCCGAATCTGGAGTTCTTGCGTGTTTGGGGCTGCATGGCGCAATACCAAGAGGCGGCGGGACCTGATCACAAGCTTCGCCCAAGGACCAAGTGGGGGATTCACTTGGGAATCTGCCCGGAGAGCAAAGGGTGGGTGATAAGCGATGTTTAAACCGGGAAAGTTACGGCGACCAGGGATGTCACCTTCTACGAGCAAGACACCTGCTTGGAGTGGAAGGGAAGGAAACAATGAGCTGTTTCAAAGGAAGCGGCAGCACCACCGACTTCCCTGGAGGAGATGATAGATGGAAGTGAGAAGGAGGGGATAGGGGCAGCCTATGGCAGCGGTGACAATGATGACTATGAAGAACACACTACGCCGGGTTTCGATTGGGTGTGGAAGGTCCAGGAGCTGTCCTCACCTTCAACTGCCATGGAAGAAAGCGAAGAAGAAAATGACAAGGGGGAAGAGGCTGGTGACAACTCAATGAATGAAACCGGTGAGGAAGAAGCTGAAAATTCTGATGGGGAGGAGAATGTGAACGAATCAGCTAGCACGGACTACACCGACCCATGGCGCATCATCGACACGGGGGACAATGAAAAGGCGGCAGCAGAGATTGAAGACCTACTTGCGGATGGTGCGATCATCATCGGAAGAGAG